GAGTCCAGACCCCTGTCCCCCCTCCCTCAGACCCAGTAGTCCAGGCCCCTCCTCCTCCCTCAGACCCAGGAGTCCAGGCCCCTCCTCCTCCCTCAGACCCAGGAGTCCAGGCCCCTCCTCCTCCCTCAGACCCAGGAGTCCAGACCCCTGTCCCCCCTCCCTCAGACCCAGTAGTCCAGGCCCCTCCTCCTCCCTCAGACCCAGGAGTCCAGGCCCCTCCTCCTCCCTCAGACCCAGGAGTCCAGGCCCCTCCTCCTCCCTCAGACCCAGGAGTCCAGGCCCCTCCTCCTCCCTCAGACCCAGGAGTCCCCTCCTCCCTCAGACCCAGGAGTCCAGGCCCCTCCTCCTCCCTCAGACCCAGGAGTCCAGGCCCCTCCTCCTCCCTCAGACCCAGGAGTCCAGACCCCCAGCCCCTCCTCCCTCAGACCCAGGAGTCCCAAGACTCACGTCTCCCCCGAAGTCCGTCTCAGCAGGAGGACCACCATTAAAATACCTGTGAGGGTCGGAGGTGAAAGGTCGGAGTCAGGCAAGAAGCTGTGGAAACTGAAATGGGAGGGCGGGGTTAGAGCCGCGGAAACGGCACTCACTCGATGGCCGGCAGCAGGTAGTGCTTGCGGAGTCCCTCGAAGTAGGGTCCCAGGTTGGCCGTACCCTCAATCACAAACACCACGTCGGCCACCAGGCCCCCGGCGCGGGCCGGGCCCTCGGACCCGGGGACCATACCCCGTGCGGTAGCCGCCACCGCCACAGCCGCCGCAGCCGACACCGCGGAATGAGCGGAAGTGCGCCTGCGCTGCGCGCGCACCCGCGCCGGGCTGTTTAGGGACGCTGGGAATGCGGCCATGTTTGTGCGGGGCACGCGCTGAGGCTTCGTTCTAGCTCCATCCTCCTTCGCCTCCACCGCGTGGAAGACTCAGAAAGGGCATAGTTAGCCCTTTTAGGGGCCTGATGGGTTCGACGGAATTCTTGTCAGGATTCTCAAGAGCGAAATAAATTGAAAGCGGCTCAGTCAGCCGCCATCTTTGAGCGGGGCGTCTGGGTCCGCCTCTTGTCTCAAAGGGCGGGGCAGGAGACCTGGTTGCTATGCAACGCGTACGCTACCCTTGTTTTCGTTTTTGTGTTTTGTTTCCTTTGTTTTCTTGTTTTTTGTTTTCGAAACGGGAGTCTCGCCCTGTCGCCCAGGCTGAAGTGCAGTGGCGCGATCTCGGCTCACTACAACCTCCGCCTCCCGGGTTCGAGCGATTCTCCTGCCTCAGCCTTCCGAGTAGCTGGGATTACAGGTGCCCGCCACCAGGCTCCGCTAATTTTTGTATTTTTAGTAGAGAAAGGGTTTCACCATGTGGGCCAGGCTGTTCTCGAACTCCTGACCTCAAGTGATTCCCCCGCCTTGGATTCCCAAAGTGCTAAGGTTACAGTCCTGAGCCACAGCGCCGGGACCTCTGCCCTTGTTTTCTAACCGTTAGATTAAGTTTCTGATTCTGTTCTTTCGGGCGGGCGGACTGGGGGAGGGAGGCGAGAAGGATCCAATCACATCGGCGGAAACGAGGTTACTAGGCAACGCTTTAAGGTCGTCCTCAACTTGGAAGGGAGGGCAGTTGTTTTCCCCCTGAAAAGGAGCCGAACACCAACCCAAGTGTGGGTTGCTTAGCAACACCTGAGCGTTGTTTTCCGGGAGAGGAGCCAGAAACTGGCCTAGAACATAAATACATTCCAGGTAGATTAAAAATGTAAGTGCGACAAATGAAACTCGAAAACTATCTGAAGGAAAAAAATCTTAATGACTGCCATGGAGTTTCTTAGCACTACAGCAAAGTCAGAAAACGTAGTCTTTATTAATTTTTCCGAAAAGACTGCATAAACCAAGTTGAAAAATACACTACCAACTGGAAAAATCTAACGTGTTTGTTGACAGAAATGTGCTACACAAATCTTATTGATGAATAATATAGAAAAATAGAAACACTGCATTACTATTATCTTTTCAATTTTAATTTTTATTTTTTGAGACAGGGTCTCTTTCTGTTGTGCAGGTTGGAGTGCAGTGGCCTAATCTTGGCTCACGGCAGCCTCTACTGCTCGCACTGGAGCCACTCTTCTGCCTGTAGAGCAGCTGGGACCACAGCCGCGCACCACCACTCCCAGCTAATTTTTAATTTTTTTTTTTTTTTTTTTTTTTTTTTTTTTTTTTTTTTTTTTGAGACGTTGTATCGCTCTGTCTCCCAGGCTGGAGTGCAGTGGCGCAATCTCGGCTCACTGCAAGCTCCGCTTCCCAGGTTCACGCCATTCTCCTGCCTCAGCCTCCCGTGTACGTGGGACTACAGGCGCCCACCACCACGCCTGGCTTGTTTTTTATTTTTGTATTTTTAGTAGAGATGGCGTTTCACCGTGTTAGCCAGGATGGTCTCGATCTCCTGACCTCGTGATCCGCCGGCCTCGGCCTCCCAAAGTGCTGGGATTACAGGCATGAGTCACTGTGCCCGGCCTAATTTTTAAATTTTTTGTAGAGATGGGGTCTCACTGTGTTGCCCTGGCATGTCTCAAACTCCTGGGCTGAAGCAATCCCAGGTGTTAGCCACTGTGCCCTGCCACTTTATATTTACTTTAATAGAAAGAAACCTGACCAGGACCGATGCCGTGGCTCACCACCTAATCCCCAGCACTTGGAGCCGAGGCAGCCAGTCAACGAAGTCAGGGATCGAACCATCCTGGCTAACACGGTGGAAACCCGTCCTACAAACCATACAAAAAAAAAAAAATTAGCCGGAGTTTGCGAGTGCCCTGTAGCCCAGCCTACTCGGGAGGCCTGAGGCGGGAGAAGGCCGGGGTGAACCCGGGGAGGCCGGACTTCAGTGAGCCCGGATCACGCCACAAACTCATCCTGGGCCACAAGAGCGGAGAAAACTGTCTTGAAAAAAATAAAAATAATAAAACCATAATCCATAATCTCCAACCCATTGCAATGCTACAAAATCCGTGATTAGGCCCTTGTACCTTATCATTTTTAAATTATTTTAATTGGTTTCTTCTCTTTTTTTTTTAAAAACAAATCTCCTTGCCCCCAGCTGAGTCATACAAATGTCCTCGCGCAGCCCACCTCCCTGTCCACTTGATTACTCCTGCCCTCACCCCTCCAGAGTAGCTGGACCTGCGGCCGTGTCCACCCGCCGCAAAATATTGTATTTTGATAAGAACAGGGTTTACCATTTTTGCCAGGCTGGCCCCCAACATTCCGTCTCAGTTGATCCACAATACTTCGGCTCCCAGAGGCCCGAATTACGCATGAGCCCCTGCCCGGAAGCTTTTTTTTTTTTTTTTGAGACCAGTCTCTTTGCTGAAGCCTTTTTAAGCAAATTCCGTACCAACATACATTTATACTCCTGTGCTTGGCACATCTTCCCATTCTATGAACACTCTTACATTACTGGTATCCATTGACCGTAAACAAAATTAACTTCTTAGTATCATCTAACAGTAAGTGTGTAATCAAACGTTCCAATTGTCTCAAAATATGTTTTTACAGTTGGTTTATTTGTATCAGCATCCAAACAAAGACCACACACATATTTAGACATTATGTCTCAAGTTTCTTTTCATCTAGAGCAGCTCCCTCCTTTTTTATGCCTGTGTGACTAAAATTTTAATAGTTATAAGGAAGATAAAAGTAATCCAGAAAAAGGAAAAAAAAAAATATCAATAGACATGAAGGAAGATTAAAATGGTACCTAGGCCAGGCTTGGTGGCTCCCGCCTGAAGTCCCAGCACTTGGAGAGGCAGAGGTGGGTGGATCACTTGAACCCAGGAGTTAGAGACCAGCCTGGGCAACATAGTGACACCCAGTCTCTACAAAAAATACAAAAATTAACCCGACGTGGTGGGGCACACCTGTAATCCCAGCTACTCAGGTGACTGAGGCCGGAGAATCGCTTGAACCCGGGAGGCAGAGGTTGCAATGAGCCGAGATGACTCCACTGCACTCCACTCTGGGGGACAGAGCAAGACCCTGTTCCATCTCCCAAAAAAAAAAAAAAAAAAGGAAAGGATGTACTTTAGGAACCAGGAAGATTAAAAATTATGCTAGAAAGATGGGCTGATCTGCAAAAAGGAAGAGGAAGGGCAAAATGAATCATAAATACATTTATTATTACAAGTAAATACTGCCTGTATAAAATAATAAAAATATTCATAAGGGCATTTTAAAAAGTCAGTAATATGCTGTCCGGTACTAGTTGGCTAGTCTGGAGGAGTTCAATACGTAATTGGTCAAATCAATTTGTTACATCCACAAAATAGATTATAAAAATACATTATTAAGATGAAATAGACTTATAAACATGGGGAAAAAGAAAGTGTGGAAATGTTAGTATATTGATCATATTTTTGAAAATGTATGAATATTCTACGTTTAACTGTATTTTAGGAAAAAATTAGGGAAGGGATATTTTCACATTTTACATAGTATGCTGCCATGTATAAATTCATTACAGAAATGATGTTATTTTTATTATTCTGGACGACAAAGGATTTCCTTGTTTTCTTTTTTCCAATAATAAAAACAACCTTTTTTTTTTTTGGTGGTTACTAGGCAACGATCGCTGGACTCAACCACCCTCGAATGTTGGGGGGAGACGGTGTTTTTCTCGATTTCGCCCCAAGGAGGGTGCTCGGACCTCGACGTGCCACCATCTTTGAGCAGGGCACAGCTGTTTACAGCTTTGGAATGGAAATCTGGCTGAATGGTGGTTGCTCGGCAACGCCCAGCCACGGTCGCCGCCTTTGAGTAGGGCACGTTGTTTACTACTATAACCTAGAGGGAATGTGGTTGCTAGGCAACGCTTTGGGACCGTCGCAATCTTTGATCGGGGCACAACTGTTTTTCCCGTTTAGAGTGTAAATCATCAAAGCCTACAGGATGGTGGCTAGGCAAGGCCTTGGCGCAGTCATCATCTTCAATCCGGCCTCTGGGTTCTCCTTACCTCCTCCGAGAAACAAGAAAGGTTTGCCAATTCAATTAGCAGCCATCTTTGTTAGGGGTACCATGACTTCCGGCCAGGGCGGAAGAGAACCTAATGGGCTTGGGGGAGGTGCCTGAATAGGGTTTGAGGGTCTGTTTGAGTTGGGTGAAGAAGGCGGGAAATTAATCCTCTTCCAATCAGCTCCCCATCTCGCCCTCTGGCGGCTCCGGACCACAGGCCGAGTTACTGTGATTACCGGCATGCTCCAAGACCGGCACTGACAGTCCCCACGTGAGGGACCGCGGTGGGAGTCCTAAATGGGGGAGGAGGGGACGGGTGGCACCGTTCATCTGCTGTGCCTCGCGGCGTCCAGCGGGGTTCCCCTGTTCTGCAGGAGCAGTCGCGGCGGCGCCTCCGCCCGTCAGCAGGTGGGGCCTTGGACACCTGTATCTAAACCGAAGGGGGTTCGGTGTTTTGACTCTGGGTCTTCAAGGCAGTAGGGGCTGGGGAGGTTTCAGTGTTGAGTTTGTAGGACCGAGGAGGCAATGCACCAATAAGCCTGATTCCCCAAAGAGGCACTGCCAGGGTATATGGAAAGAGGATGGGGCTGGGAGCTGGCACGCTTAGGTCCTAAGGAGGAGGGGATGAGGTGGTGCTCCTGTCTGATGTCCCTAACCCCTCCTTAGCTCCCGTTCTCTGTCATCGGTTCCCTCAATGGAGTCCATATGTTTGGGCAGAATCTGGAGGTGCAGCTGAGCTCTGCGAGGACGGAAAACACGACTGTGGTGTGGAAAAGCTTCCATGACAGGTCCCCAGGAGGGAACGTGGGACAGGGACAGGGCCTGGGTGATAGTCCCTGTTGAAGATGACCTCGGAGGCCTTCCAGCTCTCTAAAACCAGCTGTTAATTTGGCTGTGGGATCTTTAGCAAGCCAGTTACCCTCTTTGATCCCTGATGTTTTCTATAAGAAAGGAAGGTTGGGCTGAGGGAGGATGTATCTGGTGTTCTGGAATCGATGGGCGGACTCCAACATACCCCTTCCTGATTCCCAAGGCCTTGACTCATTCTTCTCACTTCCATTCCACAGCATCACCCTCATTGTTCTGTCATCTGAGGAGGGCATCTCTGAGCTGAGGCTGGAGAGACTACTCCAAATGGTGTTTGGAGCCATGGTGAGACTCACCAGTCCTCTTTTCTCCCCAAACCAGCATCTGAGATCTCAGCATCCTTCTCCCTCAGACCTAGGAGTCCAGACCACCAACACTTCCTCCCTCAGAACCCAGGAATCTTTTTCTTTTTTTTTTTTTTTTTTTTTGAGACAGAGTCTCGCTCTTTTGCCCAGGCTGGAGTGCAATGGCGTGATCTTGGCTCACTGCAAGTTCCGCCTTCCAGATTCAAGCAATTTTTGTGCCTTAGCTTCCCAAGTAGCTGGGATTACAGGCACGCACCACCATGCCCAGCTAATTTTTGTATTTTTTGTAGAGACAGGGTTTCACTGTGTTGGCCAGGCGGTTCTCAAACTCCTGACCTCAAGTGATCCACCCACGTTGGCCTCCAAAAGTGCTGGAATTACAGGCATGAGCCACCACGTCCGGCCCAGCCAGAACCCAGGAATCTTGACCCCCCAGTCCCCAGACCGAGAAGTGGGAGTCCTAGCCTCCTCTTCCTTCAGACCCAGGAGTTCAAGTCCCAGCCCCTCCTCTCTTAGAACTAGTTGCCCAGGGCCCATTCTCTCCTATATGGTTCTCCTAGGTCCTTCTTGTGGGACTTGAAGAACTGACCAATATCCGCAATGTGGAGAGACTGAAGAAGGACTTGAGGGTGAGGTTGCAGGGCATGAGGGTGGGAAGTTAGGATACCTGGGCACTGCCATTTGGGAACTACAGTTCCCAGCAGCCCCTGGGGCAGCCTGGTCCCACAGGTTCTTGGTTGTCTGACCCTGGGCCCACCTGAATGCTAGGCTGGTCCCTTTCTTATTCTCCTAGGCCAGCTACTGCCTCATCGACAGCTTCCTAGGGGACTCGGAGCTCATCGGGGACCTGACCCAGTGTGTGGACTGTGTGATTCCTCCAGAGGGGTCCCTCTTGCAGGTACTGCGGATGCTATGGAAATACGTGTTCCGCTGGCCCTGGCTCAGTCCTCATCCTCTTTCTTCTGGACCATTGTCCCAACCTTCTCCTATCCTCTCAGTTTCCAGTCCTATCCCCACCTGGTCCCAGAAGAATCTTTTTTCTTTGTATTGTTTTTCTTTTGTTTTTTTCTTGTTTTTCTTTTCTTTTTTCTTTCCTTTCTCTTTTTTTTTGAGACATAGTTTTACTCTTGTTGCCCAGGCTGGAGTGCAGTGGCACGATCTCAGCTCACTGCAGCCTCTGCCTCCTGGGTTCAAGCAATTCTTCTGCCTCAGCTTCCGGAGTAGCTGGGATTACAGGCACCTGCCACTACGCCCGGCTAATTTATTGTATTTTTAGTAGACATGGGGTTTTGCCATGTTGGCCAAGCTGGTCTCAAACTTCTGACACCTGCCTTGGCCTCCCACAGTGCTGGGATGACAGGCGTGAGCCACTGCACCTGGGCCATCTTTCTTTCTTTTCTGAGACAGGGTCTCGCTCTGTCATTCAGGCTAGAGCGCAGTGGCTCAGTCATAGCTCACTGCAGCCTTGAACTCCTGGATTCAAGTGATCCTCTCATCTCAGCCTCCCCAGTAGCTGACACTATAGGCACGTGTCACCACATTCAGCTAATTTTTTTAAGAGATGGACTGGGGTTGGGGATGAGTGTCCACTAAGTTGCCCAGGCTGTTCTCAAACTCCTGGGCTCAAGCAGTCCTCCCCCCTCAGCCTCCCATACTGCTCGGATGACAGGTGTGAGCCATCACACCCGACCACCAGAAGAATCCTCCTATATCCAGAGCTGGCCCTGCCCCTTTCCTGCTCACGGCCCTCCCGCAGCCTCCACCTCCCCCAGGACAAGGTCCCAGCCCCTCAGCCTGGTGTTTGAAGGCCTGTGGCACGTGGCACCCCCTAACCTGTTGCTAAATCCACAATCTACCTCCACCCTGCTGCCTCACAGACCCCAGAGATCCCAACGACTTTCCAACCTTGGTACCTGCTCTTCCTCCCGTCTCTCAGATCTCTAGCTACCCCTACTTAAATACTGCTCTTGCTGACTTGCCTGGTGTGGGCGCCTCCCAGCAGTGTGACTCTCAGCAGGTGACTTGGCTTCTCTACATTGCTGATGGTGCCTACTCAGCATGTAACAGGCCTTGATGAACAGTAGCTGCTGTGGTTACATCATTAGCTTCAGTTTGCACACTCAGGCTAGGTGTGTAATCAGACTTCACAGTGTGAGTTGGGGATGTGACTTCGTATGAAGGTGAAGGAACTCAGGCTCAGAGAGGGTGAGATGCAGGAGCATGGCCACTCCACGAGCTTGGGGCTGGCTGTGGGTTTCTCCCCATTCCCTGCCCACCTGGGAAGTCGCTGCCAACCCCTACGCCTGTCTGCGACTCCCAGTTCTCCTGCCTCCCTTACCCAGGAAGCCCTCTCCGGGTTCGCGGAGGCCACGGGCACGGCATTCGTCAGTCTGGTGGTGTCGGGCCGGGTGGTGGCAGCAACGGAAGGTTGGTGGCGGCTGGGGACGCCCGAGGCCGTGCTGCTCCCCTGGCTGGTGGGGTCCCTGCCGCCGCAGACCGCTCGCGACTACCCGGTGTACCTGCCGCACGGGAGCCCCACGGTGAGTGGGTGGGGCGGACGGGGCGGAGGGATGTGACCTGGGGGCCGAGTCGCTAGGAAGCGGGATCTGCGATGGAAAGGGGCCGGGCCGCGGTCAGCCCCAGCCTGTGCCCTGCTTCAGGTCCCACACCGGCTCCTGACCCTGACACTGCTGCCGAGCCTGGAGCTGTGTCTACTCTGCGGGCCAAGCCCACCCCTCAGCCAGTTGTATCCACAGGTGAACCTGCGCCACGTCCCGCTTTCCCCCTTAGAACACCCTGTACCTGCAAGGCCCTTTCCAACCACCCTGCCCTGCCAGCGGCTTCTTTCCCCAGCCCCGCCCCTTCTGGACTGCGCTCCAGTCATTCACCTTCCCCGCAAGATCGGCCACTCCCGCGCGTCCTCTGTCCTTCCAGGCCTCGCCCCTTCCCTGGTCCTTTCTGCCCTCCGCCCTCCACTGTTCTCGTAGGCCCCGCCCCTCCCGATTGAGCACGCCCCTATCCTCGTGCACTCCCCCGCCGGCCCCGCCTTCCCATAATGACCACGCCCCCTGCAGCTTCTGGAGCGCTGCTGGCAGCCACTGCTGGACCCGTTGCGGGCCTGTCTGCCGCTGGGACCCCGAGCGCTGCCCAGTGGCTTCCCCCTTCACACAGACATCCTCGGGTAGGGCTCGGATGGAGGGAGTGGGTTGGGGGTCATGTCCTCTTCCCCAACCATGACATTCCCTTCCCTTTCCCACAGGCTGCTGCTCCTCCACCTGGAACTGAAACGCTGCCTCTTCACCGTGGAGCCCTTGGGGGATAAAGGTGACTGAGGACAGGGGCAGGGGCGGGAGGAGCGTGGGCCGGGGAGGGACTCTGCATCACCGCCTTTTCCTCAGCAGAGCCTTCACCAGAACAGCGCCGGCGCCTCCTCCGAAACTTCTATACCCTGGTCACCTCCACGCACTTCCCACCAGGTCAGCGGCAGGCACAGTGCTCCCACTGCGCAGGCGGGGACACTGAGTCTCTGGTCACGCAGAGTAGGAGTAGGAGGTGGGGTTGGAGGAACCGGACGAACCCAGCATGCACTGGGCCATAGGGCTGTGGTTTTTCTTGAGATCTGAGATTTGACGCAGATGGGAAGGGCGATCCTCTTTAGCAATACACATGGCAAACACGGCAGCAACACAGGAGCTCCAGTAGCCTTTTCCAGGAGGGAAGGGAGGGGAAGGGAGGTCCCTGCCTGGCTTCAGAACCTCCTAGATCATAGTTAACAATAGTTAACAGTGAGACCTCACCTCTTCCCAGTGCCTTTACATGTAATGAAAGAATGAAATCACTTTATCCTCACAAGCGAGGACTGTCCTGTTACCTCATCATTCCCATATTACAGATGAGAAAACGGAGGCTCAGCTTATGAGTGGCACAGCCATATTCGAACACAGGGGATCTGGCTCCCATATCCACACGGTCCAGCACTCTGCACTACTGCTGAAAGCACAGACTTTGCTGATAGGCTTGGGGGATGGGGGAGGTTTTCACAGATGCTGGGTTAGAAAGGAAAAATTGTTGTAAAACCCATAAAGGCCCAGAGAGACAAAGGGAGGGACCTGGGATGGCGCTATGACCCCAGTGAAGCCCGGATGAATGCAGCACAGTGGTCAAGAGCTCCATCTGGGGGGCTGCACCCCTTCTTAGCTGTGCGACTCCACCTCTCCCTGGCCCCTGCCTGCTTCCCTCCACCCACCTCATGCAGTGGGGCGGGTGGGCTCCTGGAAAAGGCTACTGGAGCTCCTGTGTTTCTACCGTGTTTGCCATGTGTATTGCTAAGAGGATTGCCTGCAGCTGCAGTTTCCCCAGGAAAATGGGGGCCAAGGCTGAGAAAGAGGAAGAGGGTGAGCTGAGTGAGAGCATCATGGTCTTCAAGTTGCTGACAGCTTGCTAGAACCCCAAGGCCCTGCCCTGGTAGAAGGCTCCCAAAACCTGTGCTCAGAGACCCCACGCGTTCAGAACTTGGGCCCAGGATGTGGTGTGGCTTCCAAAGGTTAGCATGCTACTTGTCACCTCAGTGCCCCCTGTTCTTTCCCCAGAGCCAGGGCCACCAGAGAAGACAGAAGATGAGGTCTACCAGGCCCAGCTGCCCAGAGCCTGCTACCTGGTGTTGGGGACTGAGGAACCAGGCAAAGGAGTGCGTCTGGTGGCCCTGCAGCTGGGGGTTCGGCGGCTGCTGCTGCTGCTGTCTCCCCAGAGTCCCAGCCATGGGCTGCGAAGCCTAGCCACCCACACTCTGCACGCCCTCACCCCACTTCTTTGACTACCTAGCAGTGGGTGATGGACACAGACATGGGGCTGTTAGCGTCTCTCTGTTTATTCGCTCACAATAATACACAGCCCCTGGATGGGGAGGGGGTAGGAGGGGCTACGACAGGGTGGGGTGGGAGGGGAGGAGGCATCCACTTCCCTTGCCCCTCTCCCCTCTGTGCTTGGGAGGGGGGAAGGGAGGGAGGGGGCTCCCCCTAACCCCCCAGAATGTAAACAGCAGCAGATGAACAAAAATAAAAATACAAAAGGCCGGAGGAAGGTCCCAGGCATCCCCCAACCCCTGGCGTCTTCTCTGTCACCAGTGGAGGTCCCCCATCCACCAAAGCTGCCTCAGTCCAAGGGGCTGCCCAGTGCCGGCCACATCCCCGGGGGCAGAGTCCAGGGCTCAGAACTGCTGTGCCAGCAGCTCACACAGGTGACGGGAGACGGGCTCCTTGCTGGTGCGCAGGGTCAGCCGATACATCTGGGTGGGAACATTGGGGGCAGAACTCAGAGAAGATGGGGAGCCCAGGGAAGTGGGGACACAAGGGAGATAGAAGAAAGAAGGATAAAGGGGCCAGAAAAGTGATACAAGACACAGGAGAGGAGAATGTAAGAATGAAATCAACGGAGGAGCCAGAAAGGAGGGAAATTATAAATGAGAAGAGAAAGGTGGAAACGATATGGAAAGGTAGAAATCAGGGAGGGACAGGAAGAGGAGAGGAAGACCAGAGGTTGGAGACAGGAGAGAAGACTGATGGATAAAGAGGAGGAAAAGTGGACAAAGAGATGCGAGAGGAGGAGGGTCAAAGGGGGGACGTGAATTGAACAGTGAGGCAGGAAGAGTGGGCGCAGAGATGACAGGTGGCCTTCCTGCCGACCTCAGGCCTCCCACAGCAGCACTCACCTGGGCCTGGGCGTTGGGTTCCAGCCGGAGCAGACAGCCCACCTGCAGGGCTTTAGTCTGGATGATCCCTGCCCCCACGAAGTTCTCAGGGTTGGGGTCCACATTGTCCAGGAGAGCAGAGCCAAACCCCAGAAGCTGGGAGGGAGGGGGGCCGCCGTCAGAGAGTGCCAGAGCTGTCAGTTACCACACAGTGGCATCCCAGATCCCAAAAACCCTTGGGGATGGGAATTGGCCCCACTTTACAGATGGGAAAACAGAGGCTCAGAGAAGCAAAGCAGCCCTAGGCCAGCAAACACGCCCGCGGTCTCTCACCTTGGCCTTAGTAACTTCTGCATCCATGGGGTGGTTGGCTTTGAAGATTTTCTGCGCCTCCTGTTGAGGGCTGGGGACCGGGAAGGTTCAAGTCAGGGACCTGGACGGCCCGACCCGCCCACCCGGAGGCGCGGCTTTGGCGCCGCCCCCTCCCCACCCCTCACAGGCTCAGCTGCTTCCAGCGCTGGAAGAAATCCTGGGCCGCCATCTCTGTGGGCTGGAAGAACTTGTTGATGGTCACTGGGAGCTTCAGGGTGAGGGCCTGGGGGGCGCCACCGTACCTGGTGGGGTGAGGGGGAGGCTCCGTTAGGCCCCGCCCCTCGCCCCGGAGGCCCCGCCCACTGGCCGCGCCGCACCTCACTTACCGGAAGCGCACGGACAGCAGCGGGGGCGTCAGGAAGTCCCGCAGACACTCAATATTGAGTACCTGCTGCACCTGCGCGCCGCCATCCACCTGCGCCGCCACGCGCTTGGTCTGCACAGCCAGCTGTGCCCGCCAGCGGTCAAGGAAGCCAGAGAGAGGCAGCGGGCCCCCGGGAGGTCTGGGTCAGGAACCCCAGAGCTGCCGGCAGCTCCCGCCTGCAGGTCTTTGAGGGACCCCATGGTGCAATCCTGGACTCAATCCTACAAGGTTCAACTACAAAGTTCATACTATGGAAACCTCTGAGGCGCCCCCTAGGTGCCTCCTTTGGCCTCCCACAATGTCACACCTCACTGAGACATAATAGTATTAGCTCTGGAGACTGACTTGGGTTTGAATCCCATCTCTTACCCACCTGAGTGGCTGTGGGCAGCCACTTAACCTCTCTAAGCCTCTGGACATGTGTAAGATTGGGCAACATGGCAAGACCCCATCTCTACAAAAAAAATTAGCCAGGTGTGGTGATGTGCACCTGTACTCCTAGCTACTTGGAAGGCTGAGGCAGGAGGATGCCTTGAGCCCAGAAGATCGAGGCTGCAGTGAGCAGTGTTCATGCCACTGCACTCCCGCTTGGGTGAGTGAGGCCCTGTCTCAACAAAAGGACATGTGTAAAATGTCCTCAGGAGTTGATGAAATAATCCAGCCAGGTGTGGTGGCTCACGCCTGTAATCCAGCACTTTGGGAGGCCAAGGTGGGAAGGATCACTGAGCCCAAGGGTTTGAGACAAGCCTGGGCAACACAGTGAGGCCTCATCACTATTTAAAAAAAAAAATCCATTACAAGTACTTGTCTGTGTGCCCGGTACATGGTAAGGACACAAAGATGGTAGCAATTAGTGTTATCGTCATCTGCATCCGTGTCAGTAGCCCACTGGGAAGGCCTGGGTCTCATGTTCTTTTGCCACTGCCTCCACGGAGCTGCCTGCACGAGCCTCTGGAAATTATGGAAGAGGGAATTTTGTTTCTGATTTTTTTGAGACAGGGTCTCACTCTGTCGCCCAGACTGGAGTGCAGTGATACAATCTCGGCTCACCACAACCACCACCTCCAGGCTCAAGCGATTCTCCTGTCTCAGCCTCCTGAGTAGCTGGGATTATAGGCGCGCGCCACTACCACCCAGCTAATTTTTGTATTTTTAGTGGAGATTGGGTTTCACCATGTTGGCAAGGCTGGTCTTGAACTCCTGACCTCAAATGAACTGCTAGCCTCAGCCTCCCAGTAAAAAAAAAAAAAACATGAGCCCCCACGCCCGGCCGGAAGGAGTTTTGGGGTTGAAAAAAAAAAAAAAAATCAATGTGGAAATGGAGGCCCAGAGAAGGAACAGGGGGTAAAAAAAAAAAAAAACACCCTTCCAGGGTTTTCCAGATACTCTATCTTCACAATAAAAAAAAAAAAAAAAGAGGGTCTACATACACTTCCCGGTGGGGACAGGAAGGCCCAGATAGGCAAAGTGACTCAGCCTAGGTCATACAGGAGGAGGCCCTGATCAGCGACTGGACCCACAGGCCTGGCTTCTGAGTGCAGGAGGTGCTGGCATCATGACATGGAGCCCAGTGGAGGACAATGGCAGGACACGGAAGGTGCCAGACAGGGACAAACTGAGGCAAAAAAAAAAAAAATTCTGGAAGTAATGCCTCCCACACACCACTTCACTGTCATCAAAAAAAAAAAAAAAAGGAACCCCACCCCCATCTTACAGATGCAGACACTGAATCAAAAAAAAAAAAAAGCGTGCCCAAGAGGGGCTAAAGAGAAGTGTGGACCTGCGTCAAAAAAAAAAAAAACGATGAGGAAGGCCAACCTGAAGAGGCAGGCCTGGAGGCAGAAAAAAAAAAAAAACCTGAGAGGATATGAGTCTGGAGGTCTCCGGGGTGGACCACAAAAAAAAAAAAAATCTGGAACTGCACCGAGGTCTTGTTGCCATAGAAGAGATACATGCGGCCTGCAGTAGGTGGGGGAGGCAGAGCTCCATCTGAGTCCCTCTGACCCCAAAAAAAAAAAAAACCCAAGGTCTCCCTCCCACCCATTCCCACAGTCCCCTGGGACACACCTAGATTCTGCCGGAACTCTGACTTGACTCCGATCTGCAGCAGCTGGTTCAAAAAAAAAAAAAAGTTGTTCTTACACACAAACCTGGGTGGGAGTGGCAGGGGGCGCAGGATGACGGGGGTGCCTGTCTGCACCTGACCTAGGCTCTGCACCTGTCCCCAAAAAAAAAAAAAAACTCTCCCAGGACTCACTTATTCAGCAATTCATCGGCTTCCGAAAAAAAAAAAAAAATGTCTTCAGGACCTGGGCTGGAGGCAGGGAGCGGAGTGAGAAAAAAAAAAAAAAGGTGGGGAGGGGCGAAGACCCAGAGCAATTGAGTGTGAGAAAAAAAAAAAAAAAAAGAACCCCAGAACCACATATCCAGACCCCTCACAGAGCTTCGAGGAACCTCACATCCGTCCAGCAGTGGCCTCCAATGGGAATGGAACCCTGGCCCGTGCCCCCGCATCGGCAGGCACCAAATTTCCCTTTCCTCAAAGTCCCTGCCTCTGAAAAAAAAAAAAAACCCGTTGACGAGAGCTCCCAGACCCCTAACTCTCCCTGGGGAAAAAAAAAAAAAACCCCCCGCGACCTCCCACCCCAGGCCACCCCTTACTCAGCAGCTGGAGCTGGGTCAGCCAGCAAAGCCATGGGGCTCTCGGGGGCAGGCGGCTCCAAAAAAAAAAAAAAACCAATCCCAGAGCAGACAAGAGAAGACAGGCGTGGCAGCCAAAAAAAAAAAAAAAGCAAGAGGGCCGGAGAGAGAAAGACAGAGAGGGAGAAGGGAAAAAAAAAAAAAAAAAAGGAAGAGCAGGCTGAGAAACGGTGACAGGAAAGGAGACAAAAAAAAAAAAAAAGTGTCGGCGGAGTCCAGAGTGGGAGAGGGAGGGTGTGAGCAAAAAAAAAAAAAAAGGGGAGGCAGCAGCCAGGGCTGGCGAAGGCATCGGGATAGAAAAAAAAAAAAAAAGGGGGCTGGGGAGGGGCTCAGGGAAAATGCGGGCAGAGGCCGAGAAGGGACAGCCCTGGGGGTGGCTGTGAGAAGGGGCCCGGGCCCAGGGGGTGAAAAAAAAAAAAAACCTCCTCGGGGGTGGGCCCCAGGCTGGGCTGGGCGGCCGGGAAAAAAAAAAAAAACACCAGGAGGTTCCCTGCCCCTGCAGAAGCCGGGGGTGCTGCCGGGGGAGGGGCTGCCCGCAGCCCCAGGAGGTCGGCGGAGGGCGAGGGCGTCGAAAAAAAAAAAAAAAGGTCATGGTGAGGACAGATGGCACCCTGGCAGGACCCAGCCAAAAAAAAAAAAAAAGGGCCCACCCCAGGGGACTCACCACAGTGCTGGGGGTGGGCTCTACGCCCCCGTTGATGTCATTGCTGCTTGGGTCCCTCCGGCCATCATCCAGGAAAAAAAAAAAAAATGGCCCCTTCTTGCGTTTCAGCTTGGCCAGGATGGATGACTAAAAAAAAAAAAAAGGCGGCATCTCCTCCAGCACTGTAGCCTGGCGCAGTCGGGTAAAAAAAAAAAAAACGGGTCAGGAGGAGGGGAGAGCGGGAAGGGGGTATGCCAGGAAAAAAAAAAAAAAGGCTCTGACCAGGACGTCGGTGCTGGCCACCGAGCTGAGGGTGAGGTACTCCACGGCTCGCTGCTGCAGCTCCACATCAGCATTGCGCAGCTGGGAAAAAAAAAAAAAAACGGCCTGGATGGTGGCCTTGGTCTCGGGGAAGAGGTTGATGAAAAAAAAAAAAAAGGACAGCAGCAGCGCCCGCGTCGCCACGCTGCACAGGTGGAAAAAAAAAAAAAAAAGGGAGAACTGTACCGGGGGGCTGTGCACGGGAGTGGGTGTCAGCCGGGCCCTGGCCACTGCCCTCTCCCAGAAACCCCCTCGAGAGGCGCCCCTCAAAAAAAAAAAAAAATCCCAGGACCCCAGGCCGCTGGAGGGGAGTGGCCCTCCCCAAAAAAAAAAAAAAGGCCACAGTCACACTCTGTCCATGATCCTGGGACTGAGGTCAAAAAAAAAAAAAATAGGTGGGTTGGGGTGGAGGCCGAGAGGATGGGAGCCCATCACCGCCTACCCTGAGACCCCTGGGGATCCCTCAAGCCCTGGATCCGTCAGAAGTGTGTAGTGTTCCCCCCGCAGGCTGAGGCTCCCTCACCTGGAGCGGGGGTCCCCAGCAAAAAAAAAAAAAAACTCCCCAAGGATGTAGCCGCCAACCTTCACCATGTTCTCAAAAAAAAAAAAAAACTGGAGCGCCTGCGGGGGGCGGGGAAGGGCGTGGAGAGGACAAAAAAAAAAAAAATCTCCGGGAGCACTGGGTGCAACCACCTCCTGACTGGTGGAAAAAAAAAAAAAAAGCTGCGGGTGGGGTTATAGGTGGTAAACTGAGGCACAAAAAGGTTGAGTGACCGGCCCAAGCTCACACAGGCCGTAAAACAGGGCTGTGAGCCGGGCGTGGTGGCTCATGCCTGTAACCCTAGCATTTTGGGAGGCCGAGGCGGGCAGATTGCCCAAGCTCAGGAGTTTGAAACCAGCCTGGGCAACATGGTGAAACCCCATCTCTATTAAAAATACAAACAAATTAGCTGGGTGTGGTGGCACGCGCCTGCAGTACCAGCAAAAAAAAAAAAAAAGGCAGGAGAATGGTTTGACGCTGGGAGGCGGAGGTCGCAGAAAAAAAAAAAAAAGCCAAGGCACTCACTCCCTAATCCAGCCTGGGTGACAGAGTAAAAAAAAAAAAAAAAAAAACAAACTAACACACCAAAAAAAAAAAAAAAAAAAAAAAAAAAAAAAAAAAAAACAAAAAAAACAGGGCTGTGCAAGTCCCCTTTCCTGGGGAAAAAAAAAAAAAAAACTACCGAGATCTGGGGCCGGGACTGCACACTGGGCTCCCAAAAAAAAAAAAAAGGGGACTCCTCACATCAGGAGGGTGGGAGGGACCCAGAGCCAAAAAAAAAAAAAATGCCCTAGGTTGGCCCAGAGAGGCAGAGGCCCCACTTTGAGGTCACGGCGGTGCAGGAGGAGGGTGGCCAGGGGCTGGCAGGCCCCACAGCCCCGGAAAAAAAAAAAAAACCTCTAGGTCCTGTCGTGGGGTCATGGGGGTCAGGGTCAGGAATGCTGACCTCAAAGACCGTCTTGGCGGCGTAGCCCTGGACGTCATCACGGTTGAAAAAAAAAAAAAACACACGGTACCACACCTCTTCACTCACGTAGTCACCCGCAAAAAAAAAAAAAAAAAGGATGGTGTCCACATACCAGCTGTAGTCCACGGCGTACTTAAAAAAAAAAAAAACCACCTTCAGGACCTGGCGCCGGAGCGTGTGAGAGACAGAGAAAAAAAAAAAAAAGTCGGGCTTTCACTCGCCTGGCTCTGGGCTCACCACTGCCCCCATCTGGAGACCCAGGAGTCCAGGTCCCAGCCCCTCCTCCCTCAGACCCAGGAATCCAGGCCACCAGACACCTCTCCCTCAGATCCAGGTATCCAGGCTCCAGCCCCTCAAAAAAAAAAAAAAAGAGTCCAAGCCCCGAGTCACCCCCTCCCTCAGACCCACAAAAAAAAAAAAAAAACCACAGCACTCACGATCTCCTCGCGGATGGCATAGTCGGCCAAAAAAAAAAAAAACAGCATCTCCGACACGATCTGCTTGGCATTGCTCCGGTCACAAAAAAAAAAAAAAAGGTCAGCTGCCCGCTGCCGCACGCTGACGTCCCGCTCCGTAAAAAAAAAAAAAACAGGGCCCAGGTGTGTTTTAGACTCCCTGTTGGCACAGGGTTGGCCACCCAAGGGCCTCTGAGCCTCTGGTCTTTCTGAGGGGGGTGGCAGGCCCAAAAAAAAAAAAAAAGGTCACACCTTGAGGGCATTGATGACGGTGTCAATGTGCGTAAAAAAAAAAAAAAGGGAGAACTCGGAACTGGCCAGCGTGCACATGCTCTCCAGGGCCAGGTAGCGCAGGTTGGTCTCCCGGTGCTGCAGGAACTGGCCCAGCTGGTTGCAGGCCCGCACCAGGAGGTTGGGCTCACTGCCCGCAGGGGCCACAAGAAAGGGATAAAAAAAAAAAAAAACAGGAGGAGGTGGAGGACTCGGGCCCCAGCTGACCCACCTCAAAAAAAAAAAAAATCCAGGTCTTAACCTTGCCGACCCTACATTGCAGTCCTGCAAAAAAAAAAAAAAAGACAGCTGGGCCTTTGAGCCCAGAGAAAGATACCCAGCAATAAAAAAAAAAAAAAGCACCCCAGCACCAACCTCACAGGTGACACTTCACAGTCCCAAAAAAAAAAAAAACTACCTAAAAGTCAAGATTCCCTGCCCTCTGCCTAGGACCCAAAAAAAAAAAAAACCACGCCCCTCCTTCCTGGCCCCGGGCATCAGGCCCTGGTGGGCCCAGGCGGGCACCTGTCATAGTGGATGATGAGGCTGATGGTCTCGAAGAGGATGGCGTTCTTGGCGTTGGAGTGCTGCACCTTCTTGGATTTGGGGGGCTCCTGGGCAAAAAAAAAAAAAATCTCCAGACATTCCACCAGCCGCCCCTTCACGGCCGCATCCAAAAAAAAAAAAAAGGGGACGCACCTGGCTGAGTGTCCTGCCCGCCTGGCAAACCAAAAAAAAAAAAAACCATGCCCCAGCTCCTGTCTTCCAAGGGAGGAGCTCGGGGTAAAAAAAAAAAAAAGAATTCTGCAGCTCAGGGCCAGGGTCTCTGCTCCCTCAACCAAAAAAAAAAAAAACAGAGGAGGTGAGACAAGGCACCTCTGGAGACACAGGATCTAAAAAAAAAAAAAAGCTCTCCTCCTGCTCTGACCCTCTCGGGCAAGAGGTGGCACAAAAAAAAAAAAAAGTTTCCTCATCTGCAGCTCTGAGGCTCCTTAGGTTTCTCACAAAAAAAAAAAAAATCCAGGAACCTTCCCAAGAGATGCCCCCAAACCCAGGCCTTCCCAAGGACTGGTGCGAGTGCCGAGCAGCCCCTGACAAAAATGCACCAGTCACCCAAAAAAAAAAAAAATCAGCAAAAGACCGCTGCAGGCACACTCGGTGCCATCCTCTAAAAAAAAAAAAAAGGAGGTCAAAGGACACAGGGCTCAACCAGGCACCCCCTCACAAAAAAAAAAAAAATACCACTGACAGATGCCAGCCAGAAGCTCACAGGAACACCAAAAAAAAAAAAAAACAGCATGTGACGTCTTTTCAAGTGTATATTAAGAGCTGTCGAAAAAAAAAAAAAACTCACGCCTGTAATCCCAGCACTTTGGGAGGCCGAGGCGGGCGGATCCCGAGGTCAGGAGATCGAGACCATCCTGGCTAACACAGTGAAACTCCGTAAAAAAAAAAAAAACAAAAAATTAGCCGGGCGAGGCGGCGGGCGCCTGTAGTCCCAAAAAAAAAAAAAACTGAGGCAGGAGAATGGCGTGAACCCGGGAGGCGGAGCTTGAAAAAAAAAAAAAACGCGCCACTGCACTCCAGCCTAGGCGACTAAGCGAGACTCTAAAAAAAAAAAAAAAAAAAAAAAAAAAAAAAAAAAAAAAAAAAAAAAAAAAGAGCAAAAAAAAAAAAAAGCAAAAAATGCTGCCGCAAATCTACAGGAAAATTCACCAGAAAAAAAAAAAAAAAAAAAGACACCACAAGGCAGCAATGAGGCCAGTCGCCACCATGGGACACATGGCAATGGCATCTCCTGGTTTCTCCAGAAACAGGTGTGGGGGCTAGTCCAGACTACGAGAAACAACAAAGACAGAATCCAATTTAAATCCTGTTTTTGTAAACAGGGCAACTCTGTCGCCCAGACTGATCTCAAACTCCTGGGCTCAAGCGATCCTTCTGCCTCAGTCTCCCAGAGTGCCAGGATTACAGTGTAAGCCACTAAACCTGGCAAAAAAAAAAAAAAAATGTGATCCTAGACTGTACTGTGATATATATTGTTTTTTGTAAAAAAAAAAAAAAACAGAGTCTCACTCTGTCACCCAAGCTGGAGTGCAGTGGCGAAAAAAAAAAAAAATGCAACCTCCGCCTCCCGGGTTCAATCAATCCTCCCATCTCAAAAAAAAAAAAAACTGGGACTACAGTCATACACCACCACACCTGGCTAATTTTTTGTATTTTTTGTAGAGATGGGGTTTCGCCATGTTGGCCAGACTGGTCTCGAACTCAAAAAAAAAAAAAATCCTCCTGCCTCGGCCTCCCAAATTGCTGGGATTACAGTTATGAGCTGCCATGCCTGGCCCAGAACAACATATTTAAAGGCAAAACATCATGATGTATGTAATTTACTTTTAAATATTTCAGAAGAAAATAAAACAAGAGCATGCATAAATAAAAAAAAAAAAAATCTAAGTAATGACATCTCTCTACCTGTGTGGATGTTGGGAAAAAAAAAAAAAAAAATGTGAAAAAAAAATGACTTGGAAACAAATTGGCAGTAGCCCACTACCATTTGCTGAAAAGGAGGTGACACAGGGTTGGTGTGTCCTCAGACCCAGCCTCAGGACAGGGCTGTATCTGCAGTTCCTATACCACAGAGGGTTGGAGTGGGTGAGGTGCCTGCCCTGGGTGTACCACAGAATTACCAACTGGACCTTCTGGGGTGGACGTGGGCTTAAAGCATGACCTAAGCCCTTCTTGACAGGATGAAAAAGAGGCCCAGAAAAAAAAAAAAAAACCCCAGGGTCACACAACAGAATTCATCACTGGCTTCACACAAAAAAAAAAAAAAATGTCACCTCAATATCATACACTCAGTTATAGAGTGTGCACAAAAAAAAAAAAAAAAGAGGGACGTGCACAGACACAATGCATGCTGGCAAGCATTGAGACATGCATACACAGGCATGCAGACAGGTGTCTACACTCATGTACACACCCACTAAAAAAAAAAAAAAGGTACACATGTAGATGCACACACTGATACATACACATGTACAAAAAAAAAAAAAAACAGAGATACCATGAACACATTGCCACATATAGACACAGACAAAAAAAAAAAAAAACATCCACATACAGGGGGATGCACGCAGACGTGCATGCACAAAAAAAAAAAAAAACACACACAGATGAACACGCACACACACGCAGGCATGACCACAAAAAAAAAAAAAAAGAGATTCGGTGGCGTACGTCGGCCCTGGCCCCTGGCAGGTAAAAAAAAAAAAAACTGAATGAAGGGAACTGGTACATTAGCACCTACTGTGTGGCAAAAAAAAAAAAAAAGGGTCCCAAGAAACTGCTCCATGAAGTCAGTCAGCCAAGGAAAAAAAAAAAAAAGGGAGCTCAGTGGCAGAGGGAGGGGTTTATAGCAGAGAGTCAAAAAAAAAAAAAACGCTTACTCAATGCCTAGAACGGTGATGTCTCACCTTCAAGAAAAAAAAAAAAAATGTGCATATCACACTGGCTGTTCCTCCTTGCCAGCTCTGTTAAAAAAAAAAAAAAGCCCCCCTGCACAGTGCCTGGCTCACTACAGGAGTTTCATACACACTGGCTATTGGGACCGTGAGCGGTAAGGGAAGGTTCCCACCAGACGTGAAAAAAAAAAAAAAAAATATGGTAATTCAGACAGCACAGCCTGGAATCACCCACTGCCCGGGTGGGTGACCCTGGGCCAGGAGCTCCCTCTCCCAGTCTCAGATTCCTCATCTAAAAAAAAAAAAAAGTAACAGCCCCTAGTGACAGGGCTGGAACGAGAGCCTGGGTAAAAAAAAAAAAAACAATGAGGCTGATCGATGATGCCGCACAGGGTAGGCACTGGAAAAAAAAAAAAAAGCTTGCCACCCCCACTGCGGCCACGTAACAGGGGACTGAGGAACCACCCCAGCTTCAGAGAAATCCTGACCCAGACCCTCCAGTCCCACCTGGCGCAAAAAAAAAAAAAAGGCCCCCAGATGCCAGCAGCAGGCTACCCCGGGTTGGGGAGTGCGCGGCGTTCGTTACCTGGAGGCGGGTAGCACTGCAGCAGCCGCAGGAGCTTCAAAAAAAAAAAAAACGCTGGGACAAAGTAGTAGGTGTAGTCCTGGAGGTCGGTGGAGGCTGAGGAGACAATCTGCGGGGGAAGAGCAAGGAATAGGTTGGTGGCTGGGGTAAAAAAAAAAAAAAGGCTCACATGCCAGGGTGGAGCAAATGGTGCCTTCCAAGGGAAAAAAAAAAAAAATTAAGTTTTGTTAGTGGGTTTTTTTGTAGAGACAGGGTTTCAAAAAAAAAAAAAAACGGGTCTAGAACTCATGGCCTCAAGCAATCCTCCCACCTCAGCCCCCCAATGTCCTAGGGTTACAGGCATGAGCCACCATGCCCAGCCAACGTGAAAAAAAAAAAAAAAAGGAATCTGAGGCTCTGGGAAGGGAGCGAGGAAGGGTCAGGCACACAGGATGGGGGCAAAACTAGGACTAAGCCTGGCTGGTTGATCTTTCCAAGTAATGCTGGTGCGCGGTGGGCAGGAAAGGTCTCTGCTGGTTCCCTTCTGTGTGACAAAAAAAAAAAAAAACTCACATGGGACGCTCTGAGCCTCCCCTGCCCCAGGTTTCCAAAAAAAAAAAAAACAGCATGCCGGCTCCCGGAGGCTGTTTCCTGTAGTCCCCCTAAAAAAAAAAAAAATACTCAAGGGCAGGGATTGGGTCTGACCCTTTCTGGGTCCCTAGGCCTAATACAAGGTCAGATAGGAAGAGGTTTAGGGAAGAGGCAGGGAATTAGAAAAAAAAAAAAAAATCATGGCTGGGCGCAGTGGCTCACGCCTGTAATCCCAGCAAAAAAAAAAAAAAAGCGGGGTGGATCACCTGAGATCAGGAGTTCAAGACAAACCTAAAAAAAAAAAAAAAACCCCATCTCTACTAAAAATACAAATATTAGCTGGGTATGAAAAAAAAAAAAAATAATCCCAGCTACCTGGGAGGCTGAGGCAGGAAAATTCCTTGAACCTGGAAAGCAGATGTTGCAGTGAGCCAATATGGCGCCACTGCACTCCAGCCAAAAAAAAAAAAAAAAACTCCGTCTCAAATAAAAAAAAAGAAAGAAAAAGAAAGAAAAAAAAAAAAAAATGGTTCACACCTGTAATCCCAGCACTTTGGGAGGCCAAGGTAAAAAAAAAAAAAAAGGTCAGGAGTTTGAGACCAGCCTGACCAACATGGTGAAACAAAAAAAAAAAAAAAAATACAAAATTAGCCAGCGTGGTGGCACATGCCTGTAATCCCAGCTACTTGGGAGTCTGAGGCAGGAGAATTGCGGGAAGCGGAGGTTGCAGTGAGCCAAGATCGTGCCATTGTACTCCAGCCTGGGCAATAAGAGTGAAACTCCATCTCAAAAAAAAAAAAAAGGAAAGATCATGTGACTTTT